TTACAGGCACTAAGTTTCAGGCCAACTGACATACTCATAAGACCCATCCAAGGGTGGGAAAATCATGGAGGCCTGTAACATGAGACGAGTGATAATTATTACTGTTTCCATATTATGACAATTGAGTGAAAATACTTTGTTTATCATTTTATTTTAGGGATAATTTGACTTCAGTCCAGGGGGAAGATTCCCAATACACAGGGGATGTTATTTATGGGGTGGGAATTAATACATTTAAAAAAATTAATTAATTTATAAATTCTGAGATAGAGTGGACTGTAAAAAAGCCTTTATTTTATTTTATGAAAACCAACATCAGGGCAAGGTTAGAAGTATTGATACATATTTTACCATATTGTATGACATGTATCAATTTTTGGAATAGTCTATAGGTGAAATAAGAAGGTTTCATTTGTTTTTGGGAAATTGTCTAAAATTTACCATGAGATTTCAGCATTTCTCTTAAACTCGTCACAACTTTTCAAAATGTCTAAAACTCATCATGTCACTAACTTGACGTTAAACAGACTATTGGTGTTAATATATTATCATTTTAGCCTTCATAGAAAAATATAAAATCTATACACATATATTTTAATATTTCGACATGACAAAAAGGAAAAAAGTTCAAAAAATATTTTCAAATATAAAATACATAAAAACACAGAAACTACAAAAATTATAGAAATTGAAAACAAAATAAAAAATTATTTTCAAATTATAGAAACTGTAGAAATTGAAAAACAAAATCAGAAAATAAAAATTGTAGAAAAAACAACAAAAATTATAGAAAAACATAGAAATTGCAAATAAATAACAAAGATATAGGAAAATTTATAGATCATAGAAAATAGAAAATGTAAAAAAACAGAAATTATAAAAAAACACTAAAAATGCAAAAAAAAAAAGAAAATTGAAAACTGAAAAAGACCCCTTTCCTCTAACTTGTCACTCAAGGGTAATTTGGTCATGAAAATTATTATTTATGCTGACGTAGACACCTCTATTAAGAGGCATTAAAAGTGCACTAAAGGAAGGTGAGTTTTAGAAAATAAAAACTTACTGACATGGCGAGTTTTAGACATTTTGAAAAGTTGTGAGTTTAAAAGAAATGCTAAAAACTCATGGTGAGTTTTAGACAAGTTCCCTTTGTTTTTTGGTATTTAGGTAACATGCTTACTTGGACAAATGATCATCACGTAAAAGTTTACTTGGGTAAAGACTTCGGCCAGAGATTTAATGTTTTCAACGGATGGGTAAACAACACCCCACAAACCGACACTCTGGCTGCGTTTGGAAACGATGCAAATGGAGTGTAAATCTAGGTTCAGGGTAAATTTGGACTTTGGTTCACTTTTGCCTATGTTTGGCAACATTGCATTTATGCATTGACAAATGACAAGAAAACATGTTTCCCAATGCATATTTACATTGATAATAAGATGTAAAAGTACATCAATAAAAAAAAGTAAATTTGCATTCAAATGGGCTTTTGATAAAAAAATGCATATGCTTTATTGAAATCTGTGTTTGTGTCCATTGCATCTAAAGCCTGTTTGGTAAAAAGATAAATTTGTCAATGCAAAACTAACCCAACTTTGCAATTTGTATGAATAATTTTACACTCTACATATTTGCATTCACACTTAATTGCATCGTTTGCAAACGCAACCTCTCTAAAAAATAATCTTTCCATGAAACCCATTAATGGCACTTATGCATGATGGTGAGGTGTGGTTGGAAGGATGTCGTAATGTCTTTTGTTGTCTTTGTGCTGGCTGCAACTTGGGAGGCCGGGTTAGCATGAACCCAGCTTTAAAATGTCACGTTTATTTCGGTTAGTTTGAAGATTGGATTTCGGTTAAGGTTGAAAAGTGTGCATAGAACTTAACTTCAGGCTAGGTTAGGGTTGAGGCCTTTGCCATCCTGAACCGAACTTAGCTTCATATTTATATGTATAAATGCTATAATAATATTCAATACCAACACAAAAAAATACTACAATAAGTTAATAACATTTACTTATGCATATGTGGCAAATATGCATTCATGAATGTATGTGTGTAGTTGTATATGTACTATGCATATGTGTATGTTGTCAATTTGAAGTTTATAAACAATTTTTTTTTTTCAAAAACATGATAACGCATTTATACATATAATAATGCTAAAATTTAATCGATCAACTCCTGAGCATATTGGATTCAGGTTGGCACAAGATTGGGTTCGGGGTTCCACAGCTCAAGTTAAGTTAGGGTTGACATGGACTCAACCCGACCTACCCCAATCCAACTTTAGATGAATATATATAGTTGCATTTGGCATTCCTCTACTATATAAAAACATTTAGATGAATCTTTTCATTCCTTTACTATATAAATTTTTGTTGGCATATACATTGAAAATAGTGACAAGTGGATAAATCTATCAAAATACAAGGGGTGCTGTATCATAAATTAGAGTTTTGATAAATAAATATTTATGAGATAAGATAAAACGAAGATCTACTACAGAGAGGAAAACAAATAAAGAAACATAATGCTCAATTTGGAGAGAGTATAATTATAAATATGCACAATGCAAATATATACAAAATAATACAAAAGGCAAATCTTTTAAAGTACTCCTAAGTTTTAGGAAATCTACTTACTCACCCTTATTCAAGGTTTTTGACAATTGATTAAATCTTTCCTTGTTGTTAGCGTTTGTTAATAGAATGATGGAAACAGAATATTTTAAACTTTTCAACATGAAACATTTGAATAATTTTTTTTTTGTCTCTCTATTTTCTCCAAACTCCGAAACTAGCTACAATAGTGTCTCTCTCCATACGAATACAGTAATAGAAGGGCTAACAGAGTGAATTTTACCAATGGCCAAAGCAAAAACGTTAGCTTTGGTAGTGATGGTCCAAAGCTGCACTTTTTTTTGGTAATAAACTGATTTCATTAACAAACTGTCAAACTCCCAGAAAACAACAAGAACAAACTAAGAAAAGCAAACTACAGCAACACAACTAAGACAAACTAAACTTAAAGTAAAGATAAAAGCCATGATGGATAGACTCCTTCCATCCATAGATCTGAACAAGCACCGCGCCTTGCAATTTCATAAGCAGCTGCATTCGAGCTTCGAGGGCACCACCTGAACTTGACTTCCATACCCTCACATAACTTACCTAGATCCTCCTTTAAAAAGACCAGGTCTGCTGGGCAAAAAGAAGAGGAACCGTTGAGACAAACCTTTCCTCTTTGCTGTCTTCACTGCTTCTACTAGAGCCATGGCCTCTGCCATCAATGGAGACTCAGCTGAGAGAGAACCACCTCCAGTCCAGAAACAAAAACCAGCAGAGTCTCTTGCTATAAACCCATAAGAAGCTTTATTGGAATTTAAAAAATCTCCATCAAAGTTGATCTTCACAAAACCATCTACTGGAGGGCGCCAACAAAAAGAGGGAGGGTCCTTCTGTTGCAAGAGCAGAGATGTCTCTGCTGTCAACCTGTTCACAGCATTGATTACCAATAAAGTTTTCAAAAATACTTTTGTTTCTATCCTTCCAAATCTCCCACAAACCAGCAATCAACATATTAGTAATCTCTAAATCAGAATTTAGAAACCCTATAAACCAGTCTGTGAAGGAAAGAGAGCATGTATTACAGATTCGTTTTCTTTTTCACACCAAAGGCATAAAGGGGACTGAATAACTTTCCTTATATAAAGGTTTTCATTAACTGCTAGGCTATTGTTGCAACACCTCCAAAGAATTTTTATTTTTTCTTTTTATCTTTGGTTCCACAGGAAGACGCCAAAGTTTTTTCCAAAAGGTTTTATCCCCATTGATCCTGCCCCCATCAGGACTTGTGTCACACAAATCCTGTAATGCTAAGAAGTAGGCTGATTTCACAGTGAACTGCCCTGTTTTTGACCCAATCCATATGGGTCTATCCTCCCAATCAATAAATCATGCAAGGGAAGTCTCATTTGAATAATCTTACCAGCTGTTTTAGCAAGGAACAAATGATTCACAGCCTGACTATTCCAAGATCTGGAGTTACTATTTATAAGAGAAGAGGCAAGTTGATTTTGTCCAAGTCTTGGTTGATTCTGACGAGATTGGCTTCTATCAGGGCAAATCCGTGCCCCACACCGTTCTAACATTTTTTTGCAACCTTGCATTGGGAATATCTCCCCATGAAATAAAGCACACAAGTACAGAGATATTCTCAATGCAAGGCAGTAAAAGCTGTTAGAACGGGCTTTGCCCTGACTGAAGCCAAACTAAATTTTGACCAAATGTTTACTTGAGTGTCATTCCCCACTTTTCAAATCATACCTCTTTTTTAATACCTCTCTTCCTTTCAGAATACCTGACCACCCCCACGACTGACCCTTTCCATCAGTTGCTCTTAGGAAATGGGACCTCAAATCTGCACATTGCCAACCACAAACTCAGAAAGATATAGAACCATGTTAATGGCTTGGGTCAAGCATTTTCACCATCAATTTCCTCTATTTCTTATATCATCATAAACAATTCATTATAAGTAGTGGTTTGGCATAGATTGTAATTGTAGCTTTTGATGGTGGGAACTTGACAGACATTGGTAGGGTTGTTGTTAAAAATTCGAATATGTTGAGTTTTATTTTAAAAACTTGAAGAACATTAGATGGCATAAAAGGGTAATATTGGATTTAAAATAATGTTACATGTTGTAATAGAACGTTAATAAAACCTAATAGCAAGGAAGAATTTAGTCAATTATTATAAAACTTGATAGTATTTTAAGACAATTTCTAAATAATAGGGACAAAGTAAGTCAATTTACCAAAATTTAAAAGGAATGTTTCAAGAAATTTACAAATAATATGTAGAGTGCAAAACCTTATATTTTGTATGTATTTACAATATTGTAAATTGTAAATAAGGGTTCCTAATAAAGGTTTTCAGGGGCAAAGCTGCGAAACTGTATAGACACATGCAAGTATGCAATAAGTTAAGAGGAGGAGAATATTGAAAAACAAGGAAGAATCAGTTTTTTTCGTAATAAAAAAATAATCAATTTAAACTTATGGCCAGGGAAACCCGTCTCTCGTAATTCTGAAATTTATCATACTACCCCGCTATTTCGATCCCCCGATTCGATGCGATTGATTTGATCAGTTGATCAATAGAAATGGCTGAGAATGGTGGAGTCGCCTGCAAATGTTATTCTGAGAGGAGAAGTTATTGTTTCAGAGAAATTCGTTTCGGGTCGAGAAAGACGAGAAGAAATTTCAAAACTCTTCCTATGATTCCTTTGTTCAAGACAGGTCTCTATAGATGCGGCTCCTTTGCCGGAAGTTGCTGCATTTTGAGGTCAATAAATAATCTCTCTCATTCTCCCTCAATTTTTTGGGGCTTCTCTCTCTAAACTTCTATCTTTAGACTTTTTTTTTTTTTTAAACTTGTGTAATCAAGTTCGAGTCTCTCAAATATACGGTTAGGCTGTGTTAGTGTGGTTGAAGAACATGGAAACGGTAGTTAGATGGTAAGGCTTAAGTTGACATGCATTCAGTAAGTTCACACTGATCCAGTGTTTCAGATGAGATAAATTATGAATGCTTGATGGGTATGAATATTAACCGGTGGATATGGTCACTGAGTTGTCTTATGCAAGTTTCACCTTGTTCATACAATACAGGGACAAGTAATGTCAATTGAATAGTTTTCCTAGAAAATTATCATAGAGAGTTGCTGCTGACTCCATGGCATCAAAGGGGTCAACAATTGAAGCTTAATTGTTTTTATTGTTATTCCTTTTTTTTTTTTTAATTCTTGTTGGAACTTTTGAATAAGGAAAACCTCTTATAATTTGATTTGGCTAAAAAATTGTCGATTGTCCCTTGCTGTGGACTTTCTTTCAGATTAGTTCAAACTTTAAAGGGATGCTTTTGTTGCAGCGATTAGTTAGGGTGTTAGAGTTTGGTTATTCGAACTGAGGATAGTCTCCCCCAAGTCCTTAAACTCCTTATGTCTGGTCAATTCTTCTTCCAATTTCTTTTTGAGATTGTTTGTAAATCCTTAGCCCCACAGAAAATTAAGGCCTTTGGTGGGAAGTGGCTCATAAAAAAAAGTTAACATTTGCTTAATAACTTTTTAATTCATTATCTGGTAACCTTTTTTATTCATTTACACTTCCTTCAAATCATAAAATTGTTTTTTATTTATTGTCTAATAGCCCCATTTATATGGTCTCATTTCTTAGGTCTATATGAAGTTAGTTTGGTAGTAAGTTTGGCTTGCAGGATGCTATGTGAACTGGTCTGGTGTTCCTTCTAGAAGCAGCACTAAGTTATTATAATGATTTTATTTCTTGGCCATTATTTGTGCACATGAGAAGATAAGCATAGGCAGATTTTTATTGACAATGTTAGCCTCCCTGTCATCATTACATTTAATTATTTATCAGCAAAACTCAAACGTCCATTGGGCTTCATTGTCTTAAGTCTTCAGGGAAATTCCTTTGCAGTTCACTATTAGAGACTGACCTAATTTGGTGTTCTTTGGATCTTATTTGCCCCAGGTTTTGAGGAATTGGCACCTCCACCACAGTATTGCACTTAAATTTAACTTTGATAGGTCTTCATTGTGCAATAGTGGACCATAGGGAATATTCTCAAGGATTGAGATGATAATGTTTTATGCTCATTTCCGAGCCAAGGCCTGGGTGCTAGCTATAGGGGCTAATATTAGTTCAAACCCATGTTATGGAAAGATTGCTAGTAGGAAGGGATTCAAGCCTTGTCATTAATTGGTTGAGTGCTTTACATAGGTGGCTGTGGAAGCTTTAGAATGTGATTTGATTAGCTAAAGGGGTTGGTCTCCAGGATGACATTACACTGTCTTAGGATCCTAGATCAACTAAAAGCAGGCCTTACGAGGATTGTAAACATTTGGGAGGATAATATCCCACTGTTATTTGATAATTTCTGTGTTAGGGCTTCCTCTTACTTTTAAGAGGCACCCTCCCCCTGCTCTTTCTCTACATACACTTATTCACTTTATTTTTAGTTTTAAATAAATTCTTTTCATCATTATTGATAAAAAAAAAATATTGGTGATGGTTCTACTGGTTGGTTCCATGTTACTAATACATAGAACTTGTGCCTATACAGTGGATATAATTGTATACCTATTGAGTTGGTGCTTATACATTGGATATATTTCTACTGTGTTAAGCTCATAAATGAGTTGGTGTGGGTGGTGGGTGTACTTCAGGATTAATGTATGTGGCATCTGATTTCACCTGAAATTCGCAATATAATTAAAAGATTATATCTTTTGAATTTTTTTCCTGTATAATGAAGAACAAAGGAGAGTTTAATCTACATTTGGAATTTGATTGTGAGAAACAAGATAATTAAGAAAAGAGAGCTTAACCCATATTTGGTGAACTTAATGATTTGCAGCATGGATTACCGAGAGAAAGCTAGATCTACAATATTGGAATCAACTAAGCAGAAGCGGATCCCAATTTTTGTGATGATGCCGGTTGATGTATTTGGAATTGATACTTCTGGGCTCCCGAAGATTAGAAAGTATATGTCTTTATCCCTTTGTCTTATTCATATTTCTCATGATTAATCTCTCTCTCTCTCTCTTCTCTCCTCCTCCTCCTCCTTTCTATCAATCTGTTAGTTATTAGGACATAGAGGATAATACGGTTTACTAGCTGGCAGGCTTACTTATCTTCTATTCCATTAGTTCTGATGTATAAAGTACAATAACATTCTTGATTTTTTTCTTTCTACATTTCTTTGGTTATGACGCAGAAACATTGTATATGTTGTTCCTCTGTTGTTTCAGAATGAAGGCCTTAACTATGTCCCTAAAAGCGCTCAAGTTGGCAGGTGTTCATGGAATTGCAGTTGAAGTTTGGTGGGGCATTGTTGAGCGTTATGCCCCCTTTTCTTATAATTGGTCTCTCTATGAAGAACTTTTTAAGCTGATATCTGATTCTGGGTTTAAGTTACATATTTCCTTGTCTTTCCACTCTAGCATAGTATCATGCAATAGAAAAGGCGGTGTTAGTCTTCCACTGTGGATTATGGAGGTAAAGATATTCTAAAAAAAGAATTCTTTGTTTGATTAAGTGCAAGGTACCTTGTAGTTTACAAGAGTACAGTGTTATGTAACATTGCATGTATGGCATTCAGTATTTCTAGTTTCAGTTGAAATTGGGGAAGGGGATGTGGATTTTTGGTCCTCTACCCCTTTGTATGATCACCACTTGTACATAGGACTGCAAATGGATAGCATTTGGATACAATTGGGCTATGTTGAGATACAATAAGCAGAATCCAATCTTTGAATTTGAACTGAAGTATGACTAATTYTCATTTAGGACCACTGAGTGTGCATTTGCTTAGCATTTGGATACAATTGGGTTATGTTGAGATACAATAAACAGAATTCAATCTTTGAATTTGAACTCAAGTATGACTAATTCTCGTTTAGGACCACTGAGTGTGCATTTGCTTAGCATTTGGATACAATTGGGTTATGTTGACATACAATAAGCAGAATCCAATCTTTGAATTTGAACTGAAGTATGACTAATTCTCATTTAGGACCACTGAGTGTGCATTTGCTTAGAATTTCAAACATTCTGAATCAAACCCAAATAGCTAATTCTCTGCCTTTTAACAGTTGAATTTTTCAAAATTAAAAAAAAAGTGTAGACAGAAAAAAAGTGCATATCACAAGCACAATACCATTTTTTCTCTTCATTTTTTTTATATATATATCTTAGATGACATTTGCATCATAAACAGTAGCACCAGTAACACAGAAAACGTCCAACCTGGAACTCTGTACATCTTATGCTGAAGCTTAGCAAAAGTAATAATCAGTCCTAAAAGGTAGAAATCATCATTCCTGGTAGGCATTACTTGGCAACCTCTTCGCTTCAGAAAAATCAAACCAACTTTCCCTGATAAGACAGAACACAGATTAGTCACTGTAAAAACTCCAAAGGAAAAGATACAAAATATGGTTGCCTTTCTATCAGATATTTGAATTTAGATATAAAACTAGGGAAATAAATAAAGGTTGCCTGTCTGTAAATTTTGGGTCATGGAACTAATATGTGAGATTAAGGTTGATTTATATAAAAAAGAAGAAGTTATTGAGATCACTGTAATCTTTGAGTCTTGATCTTGCGCTAGGACTGTTGGTGTCTTTCCTTCAAAGTTTCGAATTTAGATTTCCCCAAAAGGCCCGAATAATTTAGGTTTATATTAGGTTTTAGGGACGGTGGGATAACTTATATGAGCTCTATGTTTACAACCTTGTATTTTCTTTTAAGTAAATTGCCTCTCAAATCCTAAAATTTTTAAGGGATAACAATATTATAAAAGATGTGATTGTCTTGTAAGCATATATTCACAATTACCAACACATGCACATAAGTACTCTATTTGGATATTTATTGGATTTAACAGTGAAAACTTTTAATTTGTTCCTACATTTGAAACTGAACTTAATCTTATGATGTAGATGATCATATGAATATGATATAATTGAAGCAAATCTTAGATTGTACTGTTGATAGCCATACTTCTACTTGTATAATCCTGCTCTATGTATCCTGTCCTTCTTGTATACTCTCCAGATTCCATAGATTTCCTTCACATGTTCATGGTGTGTTCAATGACTTTTATCAGTGGGCGAAAGAGAATCTAGACTTTAATTTTACCTCTCATTTATTGAATAGTTCAGCTAAAACCAAAACAACTCATATGCCGTTTTTCTTTTCAGATTGGTTATCTAAATAGGGATATTTATTATCGAGACCAAAATGGGCTCTCAAATAATGATTATCTTACACTAGGAGTGGACAGAATACCTCTATTTTGTGGCAGGACTGCCCTCCAATGCTATGAAGATTTTATGTTCAGTTTTCTAAACAAATTTCAGTCACTTATGGGACATGTAATTGAAGAAATAAGTGTCGGTCTTGGTCCTTCTGGGGAACTGAGGTACTCCTTTATGCAGCAAATTATTAATCAAGTTTGAAGCCTTAACAAGATTGTCTGATGGAATGTAACCTCCAGGTATCCTGCTCATCCATCTGGTGATAATAGATGGAGATTCCCCGGAATTGGTGAGTTCCAGTGTTATGATAAGTACATGTAAGTCCAAATTCTAATTATCTTTCTACTTTAGCTACTGACCTGATATTTGTATTTTAAATTTGAGAAATTTGTTTTCCTTGTCAGGATGGAGGACTTGAAGAGTGCTGCATGTGAGGAAGGAAAACCAGAGTGGGGAGATGATGGCCCACAAAATGCTGGATGCTACAATAGTCTTCCATCTGAGGTGCCTTTCTTTGAAGAGGGAGGAGAAAATTTTCTTTCTGATTATGGTCGCTTTTTCTTGGTGAGTATTCTTTTTTCAAAATTATGCAATTTGATCTTTACCAAACCAGCAGTTTTGCATCCCAGGCTTAATAACGTTGCATCAAATTGACACTCTACAATCCTACATGTTGGTATTAGAGCATATAGTGGGCATTCCGGTTTATGTAGTCATCATCGTTGTCATCGTCATCATCATCATCATCATCATCATCATCATCATCATCATCGTGGCCTCGTCCCAACTATACGAGGTTGGCTACATGAGTCCTGTTTCACCATTCTGTCCTGTTCAGTGCCATATTCAGTATATATGGTCTAGTATGATCTATGTTGATCAACACCTGAAGACTTGATGATTGGAGGTGTCTGGACACATCACTCTTGCACTGCTTTGTTTGATTATATAGAGTAGGCTCCCTAAAACTCATATTAATGATGGAAAGTGATTTTATTATTTATTTAGAGAATGAGCTATAATTATTTAATCATATCTAATTCCATAAATTTCCTTGTAGACATTGCATTTTTCCTTTAAAACTATATTTAGAGTTAAGATAGGCTCAACACCCCCTGCAGAAAATAAAGTTCTAAAAACAACCGGAAGAGATAAAAAATTAAAGGGGAGAGATAAGGGGGCTTGTCTCTCTCCCACTTTCTCTTGTACACTGTCTTTTAAATTCAATGAAGTTAACAGTTATTCATCAAAAAAAAAAAAAAACTTCACATGTCATTTTTATCGAATGATGTTCTCTGTGTGTGTGCTGTATTTTTTATATAAGTAAACAAATGAATAATGTTTAGGATGACCATTTTGCTATAGCTTTGGGGATGTATCCAGTGTACTGACCTGATATTCAGTCCTAAATGAATAATGTTTAGGATGACCAGCTATCTGGAGTTTCGGGAAGGGTAGACTGGATAGAGTCCTGGCCTTTGGCATTTTTTGCACAAAGTGGCCACTCTCAGACTCGAACCTGCATTCTCAGACTTGCCAGCCTGTGATTTCACCATTATACTAAAGTAATGGTACCTTTAGATGCTTTTAGCATAACACATGCAATCTACATAAGATTTAAGAATGCATCTTGGAGAGCAGATTGTGGAAATGCACAAATTTACTATATGTTATGCTTACAGATCCATTGCATATTATCTGATAGAGCAGGATTATGTATAGCAGAAAAGGATATTTCCTTGATCATGTTGCAAGAATTTGACTTTGTCAACAAGTGTAAGAAACATTCTTATGGCGATATTATCTCATTGCAGGAATGGTACAGTGGGAAGTTGATCTCCCATGCAGATGCTATTCTTGCAAAGGCTGCAAACATGTTAAGGAGATATCGAAACAATGGACCAAATTCTGTTTTGTTAGTGGCTAAAATTGGTGGCATATACTGGTGGTACCAGATGGATTCACACCCAGCAGAACTTACAGCTGGTTACTACAACACTTCTCTCAGGGATGGGTATGACCCATTGGCTTCAATGCTGTCTCGTTATGGAGCTGCTTTGCATGTTTCGTAAGTTTCTTTCCACAGGGTTCATTTTCTTTATATTAGTTGTATACCTGGTAATTTGACTTTTGAGTCTAAATTCCTAAGAAGAGTTACTTCTATGATAGACCATAATAAGGGCTGTTTACAATGTCTTTTGCCATTTGTAACATGTAAGGTTGTAAGATGAAGCAGATGGCCCATAAAAAAACACCATGGCAGTCCCATACCCAATCAGTTGTGGCTGGATCAAGTCTGAAGGCTGAATACAGAATCATGGCTCATGGGACTTGTGAACTTTTTTGGTTGAAGACACTATTTCAGGAACTTCATTGCCTTATAGAAGGTTTTGTGAACCTTTACTGTGATAACAAGACAACTCTTAGTATTGCTCACAAGTCACAATCCAGTAAAACATGATAGGACCAAACATATTGAAGTAGATCGACAGTTCATTTATGAGAAGGTTGCGTCAAAAGTTATCTGCTTACCTTTTGTTAAAACAAATGAATAACTAGCTGGTGCCTTTGATAACTATGTTGCCTGGATATGGCAAGGACATTGCTGGATGTGGTATTGTACTATTGTATACCAAGTTTACACTAAAAATTGAAGTATCCAACAAGATATAACACCCTTGTACAGGTATCCAGATGTCATAGATTTATAAAGCTGTTAAAAAAATCTTAATTGTTTAATATTCTTAGCAAGTTGGACATGTGTGGTATATTGGTATCTATTTACCAGTTTGAAGGAGAGAGTTGTCTGATGTATTAGGACTGTAAGACCTTGTTTGCGAATTGTATTTTCAAGGGAAATATGGTCTGTTGATATATCTCATTCTTTTGAAATAAAAGAAAGAAATAGGGTATTAGGTAGCTTATTCTCTTCTCCCCCAACTTTTATTTGTCTATACACTTGATTGCTACTTCTTTCTCTTCAATCCTTACCTGACTAGTGGATTTAAGTGAAAATTTTGATTAATAAGATGATCTCAAACCATCCAATATATGCAATATATAGGAGATCAGGATTTGAAAATAAGATGTTGGCTATCTGAAAGAAAATTTATTAGATTGGGGTGGCTATGCTTATCTGATTTCTGAACTCTATCAAATGGTGGGACCAGTCATCTTGTATGTACACCAGATATTCCTGTGTGCTATTTCTGTTCATATATTTTTATTAGCATCTAGACAAGGTTCCCTAGAAAATCTTCATATATTGGGTACTATTTACTCAAACTTTTGCAGATATTCTCAGTTTATTCAATTCTTGCTTGCAGCTGCTTAGAAATGATTGACAGTGAAACTCCATCTGCTTATCTCTGCAGCCCTGAAGGTTTGCTCCAGCAGGTAAGTGTGCATTCTAACTTAGTTAAATTGCTTTCTTGTTTAACTATGGTCAGTTTGTATTTTTAGTCGCTCATGTACTTGCTCAAGCATGTGGTTTAGTGGATGAGGGTTTCATCTAATGACCTTGTTCTTTGATCATCATCTTTACTTGTAACATTAAAGATGTGAATCAGTCTTCTAATATCAGATTTAAAATCAGTAATTAACAGTGCAAATCAGATCTGAATAATAGTGCAAGAGCTGTGTATGTCGAAGAGAAGAGG